AATAGAGGAAAACTCTTTGTTAGTTGGTTCAGAGGTTTCTGGTGTTGGACTTTGTAGGGCGGATTACAGTCTGATCCCCTACAGCTACGATAGAGAAAGCAAAGGGGTTACACCATTTAAAGTACCCGAACCCCGTGAAAAAAATATCAAAGTCACTAATTGGTCGCCTTACTATGAGCATGTACGAATAACGAGATTAATGTGATTGCGCCTAAATTAAAAGGATGAAAATTAGGATGAGTAAGTTAGGCTTAAGCATAATGACATAATACAAATTGGTTTGTATATGAGAGTGACTTATGCCCATAAAAATGCGGAATTGTTATTATCATGCTCTTATTTTTGTGATTTAGTACCTATCAATATAACTTTGTCTAAAGAATAGTCTTAAATCCTAAAATAACTATCAAGGTCACTATCACTATTTACTTTCATTTTTCTTGAGGACAAGTAATGGTTCAAGTGTGGGAGAGTTTGATGACACCAAAATCATACCATTTATTTTATTCGATTTATGCATGTTTATTGGCATTTTATTTTACATTTCCTCTATTTTGTTGGTATTTTGCTTGTGTTTCAGGTATCATCCATTTGAGAGTCATATGCAAAGAAACGGAGTTAAACGAACAAAAAACGAAAGAAATGGAGCAGTTTGTACCCAAGGAGACCACCATGGCATTCACCATAGAGGTGGCCATGAGTGGTCCACGTCTCAATGGTCAAAAGATCAAGTCATGCCCATTTTGAGAGCATGGTGTTCTCCATGGAGGTATGGCGGTCGCCACACCTTGATAACTCGCTGCAGTTGAATTGGGCTTTACTAGGTCTTCCCACGCCCTCCATCTTCTCCTATTTTTCCTCACACAAAATCAGCAACTCCCACCATCCTTTTAGGGTTTTATTTTTATTATAAATAGGTATTTAGTTACTCTTTTAAAGGATCCAAGCTTAGTTGCAAACTTAAGCCATATACTATCAAATTTGTACGTGATTAACTCTTCACACCAGATATGTTGTGTTGGTTTTTGAGCTTGAAAACCTTGTGTTCTTTGAGGTGAAGTGTTATGGATAGGATTGTTATTCTTATAAAAGAAGTTTGTGTGGTTCCTCCATCCAGGGTTACATGTACTCGAATATGGGTTTCCATGGGCATAATTAACCTAATTTGGGCTTTGTTAAGATAGAAGACTGCAGTCAGTAGTGATGTGCGCTTGTGATCCACATATTTCACATTTAGTTTGTACTACAGTTGCGGTAGTGATAAGATTGATGAGTAAGCTATCAACCTTTTATGCTAAGGCGTCCATCTTAGCGTTCATATGGTCTAGGCTACCGACTTTGTATATACCTCCTTTTGTTTCCTTCTTCTCTATTGTTATTCATTCAGTTCCCCATTGGTAATGTTTTTGTACCATGTCCTTTATGAGTGTACAAGCTTTGGGGTAAGGTTTGTTCATCGGTGCATCGTCAACAATAGCGTCCATGGTCAGCTTTGTGTTATAGAGAAGTCTATTATAGAAGGTATAGATTATCATCTATTTTTCTAGTTCTTGGTATGGATAGGCTCTTAAAAGCTCTTTGTATCTTTCCTAAGCATTGAAAAGAGATTCACCATCTATTTGAGTAAATATGGTTATCTAGTTTTGCAAGACAACAATTTTACTTGGTGGAAAATATCTAGCAAGGAATACTTTCTTCAGGTCACTACAAGTGGTGATAGAATTCGCTGGGAGAAACTGTAACCCCGTTCTTGCTCTATCTCTGAGGGAGAAAGGAAATAAACGTAGATATATAGCCTCAAGAGGAGCACCATTGCTTTTCAATGTGTCGTCTAGTTGAATAAACACTTTCAAGTGTTGGTTAGGGTTCTCAGTCGAGAGTCCATCGAATTGGTTTTGTTGCACGATTTGCAGCAAAGCGGGTTTCAATTCAAATTTGTTATCCGAAATTGTAGGGTTAAGAATACTTGAATGATGTTCTTCGGTAGAAGGTAAGGCGAAATCCTTAAGTAGCTTACGGTCTTGTTCGTCTGACATTACTCTTCAGATTCTTTGGAGCAAAAGTCTCGCATGCGCGTATCTTTATGGTTCGGCTATTAGATCTTCTAAAGTTCCGATGCTGCGAGTTCTTCGCATTTACTGAAAAGTGTGCCTTAATCTAGACGGTGTAACAACGGAGTTACGATATTTAACGTAATCAGTTCTCGATAACAACGCCAAAAACTTGATGGGGGTATTTCGCAAGTGTGCGAAAAGTGTCAGAGTAATATAAAAAAGTGTTGGACCCATAGAGACCTAATAGTCAAGTTATTGTTATCTATTGCTACAGTGTTTATCTAAGGGGAATAAAAAACAAGTGTTTAGGTTATAAAAATAGAGTAAAGTAGAAGAATATAAATTAATTTAGAAATGCAATGTTGGAATGTGGATCTCATCTATTTGTCGATACTCTTGTTGTTCCTAAATTTAATCACCTATGGGATAATGTTTTCCTCTTTGAAAATAACTAATTAAAAATAAATCGTCGTTGTCGCGTAATCGGAACCGGATTTTCCTCTCTAATTTATATTTCCTGATGTCGCGTGCCCGACACGTTTTGCTTTAAAGAAGTAAACCTTTTTTAGAAATAAGTTTACTTTACTGGGATGAAAAGTTATTTTGATTAGAAAATAAGACTTTAAAAGGTTCCCGGTGTTCGCTCGGTCAACCGTACCTTAAATTTACAAACACGTCCGAAAATAGGTTCAAAAGTACTTTATTAAAATATTAACTTTCCTAATTAATTAACAAATAGATTTCGCGATTTTTTATCAATTAAAAACTAAACAACTTAAATCTTTTGTACCAGACGGCTTTCGGTCTTACCCGGCGTATAAATGGTTCTACTTTCGTAGTAAACCGATAATTTTAAGTTTAGAAAAGTTGTAATTAAAACCAAAACAACCCCATAAGCTTTTCTCAAGAACAATGATTTAGAGTATCGTCGAATCGACGATCCTCACATTCTAACACTTTTAATTTAGCTAGACATGTTTGTAAAGTGCGATAAAAAAATTGATTCGATCATGAAATAAAACATTGTAGACATATTGAATAAAGCTTTAAACATGCAATTGGAAAATCAGTAGAAGAAGAACATGTTATTAAATAAAGAATATGATAAAATAAATATAATGTGATAAATAAAAACCTGCTCATAAGAGACTTTAATCTGGTACAAGAGTAGATTGCTGAAACTTGAAAAAGAAAGTAAAATGACAACAAGATTAAAACTTTGATAAAAATTTGCTCCAAACTCGATTACATACTTAATCAATGGTGCGATAACTCTCTGATGTGAAGAGTTAATCACTTACAAACTCGACAATATATGGCTTAAGTTTGTAACTAAGCTTGGACCCTTGGAAATGTCATGAAAGGATGGTATTTATAGAGTTCTCAAATCCTAAAACTAGCAAGGGAGGTTTCTAAATTTGTGGGAGAGAATTTAGGAAAGAGTGGAGTGAGTGCATGACCAAGCAAACCCGTTTTCCAACCGCCTGGTCCTTACAAAGGATGGCGAACGCCATATCATGGCGGCGAACGCCACTTTCCCAAAGCATGGAAGAATTGGTCAACTGTCTGTTTGAAAGTGGAACGCGTCATTTCTCCTTATGGCTTTCTCCATGGCCATCGCCATGTTGACACCTTAAGTGCAATTTCTTCCTTTTTCTCTATTTTCCATCCGATTTTCTTTCTTTCTTCGCGTATGTCTCTCATTTGGTCGATTCTCTGAAACACAAATAAAATACCCACATAATACTAGAAATGAAGACAAAACAACAAGAAAACATGTATAAATCGAGTCAAATATAGTGTATTTTGTTGTTATATAAGTTCTAAGAAGGTAGTACATGAGATTTCCAAGACTGTGAAGCCTAAGAAGTCATGTGAGATATGCATGAAAGACAAGTAACATAGATTGTCGTTTGCGTCAGAAGTGACCCCAAGAGTAAAGCATGCTTTGGAAACAGTGCATTCTGATGTATGTGGACCATTTCCAATACCTTTACTTGGAGGAAACGAGAACTTTGTGTCATTTTTGGATGAATTCACAAGAATGACATGAGTAATATTGTACCCCAAAATTTATCATCTCATTTTCTTCAGGACATCTCCTCATGCTCTTAGAGTTTTCAATTGTTCAAGGTTACTCAATGTTTGATCATACAAATTCTCCTCCTAAATAGTTGACCTACAACTAGGGTTTCATTTTTCTCAAAAAAATTTGAGATTATAAAATATTAATTAATAAGAATATTTAAAATTTATATATATATATATATATATATATATATATATATATATATATATATATATATATATATATATATATATATATATATATATATATATATATATATATATATATATATTTTAATATGTTATTTTGTTTATAATTTAATTTGACGAAAGTGTGAACAGAACGACTCAATTATATCTTAAAATTTTAAAACTTCAAGTAGAAAAACACAAAAATTAATAATTTAATTATAATATATAATATAGTGAGATCCCATGACGCGGTATTGCATATAATCAATCAGTACAGAGAACCAACAGCTGTGTCATTGCATAAATGCACAGTATACCTCAGAATCCAATGTTTCTAAAAAACGTTTTTAAATTTAACATTTAAAAAAAAAAATGAAAACCACAAAGTCGATAATTTAAAAGGACGATTCAATTATTTAAACCTATAATATTTCACCCATAGTAAGAAGGAAGCTTCAGTAGAAAGTTTTAAAAAAAAACTTGTGCGTACTAAATAAAAATAAAAAACAAAAAACAATCTGGCAATATTGTCTTATCTTGACCACTCAAGATTTGCTTGCTACCTTGAGAACCATCTCTCTTTCTCTCTCTACTATCTATAAATACTCTCTCTCTCTTTCTCTCTCCACATTCATCTCAAACATTTCTTCTTTCTTATTTTGCACTTGAATCTTCAATCTCTGTACTATGGTTAAGTCGTCAGAGAATATCAACAAGATCAAACAAGAAGCGTTAACAAAAACAAAACAAAATGTTTCAGATATTAGCAAGAAGAACAAGTATAAAGGTGTAAGAATGAGAAGTTGGGGTTCATGGGTATCAGAGATTAGAGCACCGAATCAAAAAACAAGAATATGGTTAGGTTCTTATTCAACTCCTGAAGCTGCTGCTAGAGCTTATGATGCTGCACTTTTATGCCTTAAAGGTTCATCCTCAGCTTCAAATCTCAATTTCCCTTTAACAACTTCACATTGCATTGTTCCTCAAGATATGTCTCCAAAATCAATCCAAAGAGTTGCTGCAGCTGCGGCAAATAATCTCAATCTCAATCTCAATCTAAATGTCAACAACACTGACACTCCCTCTTCATCATCATCAATGGCTGCTTCTTCTTCTTCTTTTTCTTCTTTTTCTGATGAGGTTTCAATTATTTCGTCTCTTGATCAAGCTAATGGTGAAATGATGGAAACTAATTGGTATGGATTAGAAGGTTTACAGTCTCCTAAATATGTTGATCACGTGTTGTTAAGTGCTTCTTTCTTTGATCTTGAATATTCATCCTATTTGCTTGATGATGTGTATGAAGAAAGTGACATTCGTTTGTGGAACTTCACCTGAAGAAACTTCAATTCTTTTTTTCTTCAAATTTAATTCTTTTCTCTTCAGTGATACTACTTGAAGATATTAGTGTAACAAATAAATCTACATATTATATTATTTCGTCAATCTTCAAATTTGTATGTCTTTTATTGATGCAAAGCTTGTTATGTCAATGTCATGAACAAAGGGAGGAAAATATTTATATATAGTCATAAATATCACTTGTCATGAGTAAAGTAAATCCTTTCACCGTTTTTTAATGTATCAATGTAAGAAAAAATGTTTTGCTACAACATGAGTAACACTCAAGAGGAAATAGTTTGGTTCATAAAGTCATATACTTTTATGTGTTAAACATTTCGAGTTCGGATTCAAATAACTATTAAATAATATATGATCTGATCATATATACTTTTAAGTGAGAATGATCTTCACCCAACAAGTAAATTTTGTATGAATGAATTAGATTCAACCATATTTTTTAACATGATATCAAAAATCTCGTTTATGATTATATTCTATCTGATTTATGGTATCATGCGACTACTAAACCCAACTTGTATTTAGATGACATTAGAGAGATTTTATTGCATGAAGAATTATAAGAGAATAAGGATTCCTCGTATCATGTTCTCACTATTTTCGTATCTCCATCCTTAAATCTCCTCTCTCTCTCTCTCGCCCATTTATTCCATTATAATAACAAGTTGGAGTTTAACTGGACCCTCATATCACAAAAAAGAATCTAGTTCATATGCAGCGCGTGTAGTAATTTTAAAACCATATGAAAGTGTGACTTTAACAAAAAGAACTAGTGTTTCCTTGCTTTAGAAGTTTGGTATTTCATGCCTTTTATTCCTTTAAAACCAAAGGGAAAAGGTCACGGTTAGGTTCTAATTTATGTACAAGAATAGATGGGGAAGTTAAGGGCAAGTTCGCTTTTGAGAAAATGTTGCAACTTACCATAAAAAGAGTGTTAAAGTATGTCATTGTGGTAGTGAATTGAAGATAAATATATTGAATATATCCCACTTAAAAAATTTAGTGTGTTTGAATTGACAATAAATAAAATTGATTTTAATATAATTGAGTTTAGTAAAATTTATTTATATTTGAATACATTTATATAAAGTGAATTGAACAATAAATTTTAATTTAAAAATTATTTAAACTCAAAAAATATAAATTCCAATTTCAAATAAAATCAATTTTAAAAACAGAAACAGTTCTAAAAGTCAAAAGTCAAACAAACATGATATTACGTATTTTACAAATGACTATAAGGAGGATGTAGTTTTATTGGAGTGTATTCTAAAGAAAATAAAGATTTTACTAATGTAATAAGTAATGTTAGAAAGAAAAACAAAGTCAAAGTTTTAACACGTCATCTTTTGACACGCACAAGAGTGTGTTTGACACTCTCTAACACGCGTAAAACACACACTTGACCGTACTTTTTATGTTTCACCTTTATCTCTCATTCACATGTCATTGTTTTGCACACGTTAGCGTGTGTGAAACACATATTTGACTAAGTTTTCCACGTTTCAACTTTATTTCTCTTTGTTTTCCATCTAAATATTCATTCATATTCGTTAAAAAATATGAATTATCTATTTGAGATTGATATTAGATTTTTTACTATTTTGTTAAATTCTTTATTCACATCAAAAAATTTAAATTTTCTCTCATCTCTTTTTTATGGACTTTGATTTTTTTAAATACCCCTTGCTCTTTTTTATATGTTGAGTTTTTTAAATATTTAAAATTTTTAATATGTGAAATTATTCCCTTCGAAAATATGAGCTATATTTGTATCATATTTAAGAATATAATTTTAAAATGGTTCTTAAAGTATGGTAGGGTGTCAATAAAGTTTGAGTTATTTTATACTTAAAACTCTATAGTATGTTTATATAATTGTAGACAATGTTTTAAAACGTCTTTTTAAGAAAATGTCTAAGTATGAGGCTTAAGTCGATAATTTATTTTGACAAAAATCTTTTTCAAAGAACTTCAGTTTTTATTTTCTATTTTCACTGACTTTATGTTGTAAGTATGATGATTGTTCTAATTCCATTGTTTTTCAATTGGCTCAACTTAATTTGTTTGGCATTAGTAGTAGTATTTGAACTAGAAATAAAGAATATTTGCAGTGATCGATGACTTTATGATGCAATCAACTTTCTAGTTTGGGTGTTACATGCTGATACAACATGCGCAGAACATGCATGCATGATCCTTATTCTTTACAAACTAAGAATTTAAGAATGCTATAGCCAAACTTTGACACTTTTTTGGCTAACTTTGGAACATGGGAGAAGGCATGGGATACCATTCTTTTTTGTTTCATTTACATTGCATCTATCATTAGAATCAAAGCTTTTGCTTTTGTTATTACGTGTTCACACATACGTATCATATTTGTGGCATATATTCTTGGGCCTACATAGCATTATGAGTCAATTTAGTTTAGCTTTTTTTCAATTTTATGCACATGAAAATGATATAACTAATTGACAATTTAAATGTTGTATTGTGACACAGCATGTGAGGACTCTTCTAACTTTGGCAATCGGCATGTGAATAATATAAAGAATCAATGCATATTACAATATTTAATGATGTTTTTTTATGTGGGATCACACTTAGTTTTCATAGTATTAATTAATAATTGTGGAAAAGGATAATTGGCCTCCAAAAAGAAAGGCAGTGGTAGAGAGGTCGAGATCCAACATTAAACATGAAATGAATGATCCTTGTGTGGCATTATTAAGACATAATAATTAAGTTAAATTGTGATTAATCAATTTATAAGAGTTGAATTTCAATCAAGGAAAGGTTCCTTGTTTGCATAATTAGTTCAATCAATTTATATGCGATCTTTTTAAATGGAGGGCTCTTGTGTAAGTTTGATGACGTAGGAAAGACTAAATTTTTAATTTGGAAATGAATTATATCATTTTTAAGGTAGGAGATGTTCTTGTTTGGTCGGATTAGTGTGTCGATCTGAGGCCTTATGTTAGGATCTTGTAGGTGGTTGGTTTTAGTTGAGTCTTTTGGTGATTGTGATGACTTCTCGACAAGTAATATCGAAGTAATAAAAAGATCAAATCTACAGAGACTGTTAATCGTGCAATTTTTAGAAAATAGTAAATGGGGGGTTCGAGTTTTAATGCGAAAATTAATAAAATTTTGTTCTGACAATGATCGAAAGCAGTTAAATTTTGTTATAGAATCCTCTAATTCTATAATGTTGATGTTTGATGTATTGCATAATTAATATTGTTGCTATAATTTCACGGTAGATTAACAAGACCACTATACTCAATCTCTTGGTGTATAGCTCACTAATCTATACTCGGAGTTTTCTATCTCTAGTCCACTAGCGTAAGCAAGATTAGGCAATATAATAGAACGTTAATCCCTAAGTCACTACTCGAGGTCTCCTATTCCTATTCAATCGGCGTAAACACAACAATTGCCTTAAGTCCAACGCATAAACTAATGATCAGTCCCTATGCGACCAAAATCAGATTAAAAGAGTATCTCACATAAAAAGCATTAAGAATAAGATGCAATTGAATAAAATAATAGCTTCAATAAATTATGCAATATCAAATCAAACACGTGTTCCAACAGTATTGAAAAAGGTTCGTCCATAAACCTAACCTATGAGAAAATTAGCTACTCATAATTCAAATTACAATACCAATAAATTATATGAGGTTTGCATAAAAGATGCATTGAAGAATTGGCCTCTAATGACTCCAAATATGCTCCAAATATGTCTTATGGTATTGTATATTGTCACTTGCGGTGTAAAATCACAGAACCCTCGAAACACTAAAAACTCCTTTTTAAAGCATTCAGAAGTGTCAGAACGCGTCAGAAAGTGCTTAGAAAAAAGGCCCATTGTACGCAAGATAACCTGCATCGCGCGCGATGCAACTTATCTAAGCATATCATGCACGTCATGGCGTCGTGATTTTTCCAGTGACTGACATGTGTTTGGTCCTTTTTCAGCCAAATTTTCCCTATCATTTTGCTCTATTCTTTGACTATTTTTCATCAAATTAAGTGACTTTTGACTCATTTTTCTTTGTTTCTTTGATAAAATATATGCAATGATAAAGTGTCATCAAATTGCTTATTATTTTTTCTTTGCAATTTGTTCTCATGAATTTGACATCCCTTGTGTTAATTAATTAATTCTCTTTACTTATTAAAAAGAAATTCATGTGGCGCCTAGCTTTCCAACAAATGAAAGCAACTTAAATGTAAAATATATAAAATGTCATTTTAATTTATTTAGTATTCTATAAAAGGTTTGTATATGTTAGCATTAATGATAAATTTTATCACTTTTAATAAATAAATTTGATATTAATTTAAAATTTATATAAATTATTTTAGAGTTCTTAATCAATAGATTTATTTATTTCAATTGTGATTTACTATCGTATAATTTAAAATTCTGGTATCAGATATATGATGTCGAATGAGATGTCACGACACAAATATCTGAGAAATAAAGTAAAGTGCAATAATAATAAAAACAGTAAAAACACAAGGGATTGTTAACCCAGTTCAGTGTACAACAACACCTACTCTGGAGGCTACCAAGCCAGGGACAAGTCCACTAAATAGTATTAATTCATAGACCCTCGGTAAACAATCAATTTACGATCTAATCACTTAATCACTACCCATGCTATACTTCTACCTAAGACTCGCCTAGGTATGAGGCTCTCCTCAAACACCTTCAATCACTTACAGTGAAGAAACAACAGAAATAATAAGTTCAAAAAACTTCAATCATTCAATGCTTAAAAGCTTATGAATGATACACAATTAACAATCCAAATGACAACACAAGTATTAAATCAACACTAGAGTATTTGACAATTAAAAGACTTAGACTTCTAAGACAGAAAGAAAGTATTCTTCTTCAAAAGTTGCAATCATCTGAATAAGAAAGCAGGTCCTTATATATGCACAACAATGGGCTTGGACTG